CAGTGCACAGGCGTTCCCTCTTCGAGTTGCAGGGCAGGGATATGTGGTTGCATCTTGGCAGTGAGCACGGCGGTGCTTTTCAGTCACCTGCAATCTTTACTGCTTCGTCACTGTGACAGCGCTGCTGCTCAGCATGCTGTGAGCGGTGTTCATCAACACGCTGTGGACTGTAGCCTCCGTGATGTAGAAAAATGTTCCTGCAGGTCCTTGTGCGCATGCGTCTCATTGATAGCAGTGTCTCGTTTGGGGATACAGTTCTCGAAAGCAGTGAGTCGTTCGAAACTAAATCCATGGATAGCAGTGTCTCGTTCGGAGATAAAACCAGTGATCGCAATGTCTCATTTGGGGCTAAATCCATTAGTAGCAGTGTCTCCTTTGGGGCTAAATCCATTGATGGCAGTGTCTCGTTTGGAATTAAATCCATTGATAGCAGTGTCTCGTTTGGAGATACAGTTTTTCGAAAGCAGTGAGTCGTTCGAAATTAAACCCATTGATAGCAGTGTCTCGTTCAGAGATACATCCAGTGATCGCAGTGTCCCATTTGGGGCTAAATCCATTGATAGCAGTGTCTCCTTTGGGGCTAAATCCATTGATGGCAGTGTCTCGTTTGAACGTAAATCCATTGATAGCAGTGTCTCGTTTGGAGATACAGTTATCGAAAGCAGTGAGTCGTTCGAACCTGAATCCATTCATAGCAGTGTCTCGTTCGTTCAGCAACAGGAGTCCTACATGAATCTTAAGTTGAATGCTTCCAGATATGCTCGTTCACATCGCTGTTCGGTTGCTTTGCCGGGATAGTTTGGATTATGGTTTGACTACTTTGAGGGTTCTTCTTTTTCGTCGAACATTCCCCCTGTAGGGGGACAGGCCCGACTTAACGGTACATCGCCGACGCAATATCGACGGGCCCCCGCGAAAATGCTGCGGAGGCCGCCCCGAAGCCGCGAGGACCACTGCCTGCCGGGCGGGCCCGCGGCAGTCGTGCCCCCCGCGCCCCGGCGCGGGTGCTTTTTCCACGAGGCGTGTGCGGATCCCCGCGCGCCCAAACCTGAAGGGGACCTGGGACACACAAATAAATAAAATACGCACAATTGAAAGGATTCCCCATATTTTCACATATTTTCTTGGTTTTTGTCTCCCACCACACTTCCCATATTTTCCCATATTTTTCTGGGAGTCGACGATTAATTGTGTCTGTGTGTGTTTTTCTCCTCCTGAAAACCCCAGGGGAGGGGGGGGGCTGTGCGGGGCAACGATATGGGGGTGCGGCCTGGGACCGAAACCGACGGACCTGGACCCGCAAAAAGGACGGCCGCGACGCCCTCTCGCGAAGCGGAAAACGGCCAACTCCTTACTCGACGTGCCAGGGTAGGAGGTCCATCCACCTCCGACGTATGCGGATCCCCGCGCGCCCAAGCTCCGGGGGGGGGCTGTGCGGGGCAACGATCTGGGGGTACAGTCGACATCCATAATTAGTAAGGACAGGCGGCAAGGACGCAAGGGCCCGGGACGCCGAGGTCAGCACCTCTGCGCGGCGAATTGCCAGCGCCCGGAAGGGCTCGGGCAGGGACGCAGAGGTGCCCGGAGGCACTGAGTTCCGACTGTGGGTGGCGACATCCGAACCCTGCCCCCAACCACCTCGGATCCTCCTGAACCGAGGGGGGGCGGGTTGGATGCTCGTTCTGGGGACCTTCCTGGAGCCACTCGCTCCACTCGTGCGTCGAAGCTGTGTCGAACGTCAGTCGAGTTGGGTCGACCCTGAGTCGAACCTGAGTCGAACCTGAGCCGAACTTGAGTCGAACTTGAGTCGAACTTGAGTCGAACTGGGGTCGAACAGATCCGTTAGGTGGGCTCCAGGAAGGTCCCCGAAACGAGCATCGAAGGCGGGGGTACCGGGGGCGCGCAAACACGGATTCGCAACCCATGGGTTTGGCGCGCGGTCACCACAACCATGGATCGGGGGAGGCGCCCCGTCCCCAAAAATGCGGCCGGTGCCGCCTCGCTCGGCGAAGGGGAACCCGCGATTCCCAGCGGAGACGGGACCCGTCGCTAATCCACGCCCCCGTGATCCCTGCTTGCGATCGCCTGCGGGCAGGGTTCGGATCGATCGACGAGCTCTGCATCCTGCCCCCCGCCGCCCGTCGGGTGGCATGGAGTCGTTTGAGGGGGCCCCGGGACACGCAAATGAATAGACACACTCAACAGGATTCCCTATAGTTTCTCATATCTTCCTGGCTTTCGTCTCCCCCCCCCGCACTTCCCACACTTTCCCCATATGTTCTGGGGAACCGAAGGTAACATTGAATTGTGGCTGTGTGTTCTTTCCTCCTGCTCGCTGCCCGGCGAGGATGGGCACGGCTCGGAGGACGCCGCCGAGAGGGGGGGCGGGCTCTCCCAACGGGGGGGAGGGGAGGCTCTGGCCCAGGGCAGCGGCGCGCTGGGCGCCTCGGGCAGCTCGGCGACGGGCGCCCCCGACGGCGAAGCCACGCATGCTCCCGCCCTGACCTCCCAGGAGGGCCAAAATCATGTCGGGCGTGTCCCCCCTTACAGGGAGATTTTCGACAACACATTAAAAATACCCCAAGAATGCCCCAAGAAGGTCAACAAAATACCCTAAAAATAGTCCCGAGGCTATGTTTGGAGTACTTGTTTGACTATTTTCGGGGAATGTGTTGTTTGTCGTCGAAAATCCCCCTGTAGGGGGACAGGCCCGACTTAAGGCTAAAAAATGGCACCAGGACGTCGACGTCCCAATTCCTGTCGAGGCTTGCCAGGCAGATCCATAGGTCTGGAGTGTTCTTCTGGGAGGTCAGGGTGGGCGGGGCGGGCTATCGGGCCCGTATCGGCGACGAGTGGGCGCCTGGGGGGTCGATGCATCCCCTCCCGAGCCTGTCCGCCTCACGTTGCCCCTGAGGCTGGCTGGAGCATGGCACGCGCTTCGCCCCGGAGGTGACGGCTGCCAAAACGGGGGAAGCAAAAAGAGACCAGGGTTTTCCGCTACTCAACGCACCTATCCTGGGGTGCGTTGTGACCAGGATGTCGAGGCGACTCCCGCCGCTGCGACCAGGGACGAGCAGCAGCGTGCGCATGTCCTCCTCGGACCAGGAGCGCGAGACGATGCCCGGAACGAGCATGGATGCAGGAAGCGGCAAGCGGGCGCGCAGGAGCAAGAACCAGGTCACAATCGGATGCGGTAAGAGTGAAGGGGCCCTGAGGCACACAAAGAAATACACCCAACTAACAGGATTCCCAAAATATTATCCCATATGTTCTGGGTCGTTTTTTTCCCTGCCCCCTCACTTCCCATATCTTCCCATCTTCTTCGGGGGAATCGACGATGAATTGTGTCTGTGCGTTGCGTTCCCTCCTGCGTAACTAAGAGGCGAGGCCGGTCCGTGCACGAGCCACGCCTCCCCTTAAGGAGGCTCGGCTGGCCTCCTCAAGAGAGGAGCTCCCCCGCCGCACCCGGGGGCCCACAGCGGCCCAGGGCGCCGCCGCAGCGGCGCGACCCGCTGGAAGGCCGCCCCCAGGCTGCGAGGCAGCTGCTGGGAGGAGGAGGAGGAGGAGGAGGGGGAGGAGGGGGAGGACGAGGGGGATGGGGAGGGGGAGGAGGAGGAGGAGGATGAGGTATGATGTAGGAATGAGGAGAGGGGCGAGGAGGATGGGATGCGAGGAGGGGGCTGAGGAGGCGGGTGGTTACGGCGGAGGAGGACGCGCGGGACAGTCGGCAGTGTATGCAATGTGGCCTAGGGCCCACCCTGCCTGCCAGACGTTCCCGCTGTGACCACAGGGGGGGGGAGCTCCAAGGAGGGAGGAGGAGGAGGAGGAAGAACAGGATTAGGAGGCAACTACTGGGAGGTTTTCGTCGGAAGGACTCAGGAAGATTAAGCCGCGTTGGGGAGCTGTTACGCCAGAGTGGGCCTCGGATCAACCGGGATTGAGCCGGATCGAGCGGGATTAGGCGGGAGTAAGCCGGATGAAGCGAGATCGAGCCGGATCAAGCCAGACGTCGGACCAGGGCAAAATCAGAAGTTTACCTCCCAGGAGCTGCACCCGAACCCAGAGTCGGGCACACGCACCAGCGACCATGGGCACTAGTAGCCTTTCGCGCGCGGCCAACCGACCGTGGCACGCGAGGCGACCGCCGCGGCGTGCCAGCGGCGCCGCGCGGGGGGCCCGGCGCAGAGCAGAGGAGCCCGCGCGGATCGTCGAGATGTTCTGTGTGTAGCTCACGTAGCTGATTGTCCTGGCGCCTCCCGGCGCCGGAGGCGGCCATGTATCGAGGAATGGGCCTCTCGGCGGGGCCGAAACCAGCTGCCTGCAGCAGATTTCGTAACCCCCCCTTTCCCAATCCCCCCCTTTCGTCCGGCCCGAATTTCGTTGCTCTTCGGGCACCGTCGAGAGAGTGAGGATACACCGCAATGCAGACGTTCTTCGTTCTTCGACGTGCGCGTAGCCGCGAAGTCGGCTGCAGGCAAGGGGGACCCTGAGCAAACGTGACCCGAACGCGCGAGCCAGTGCAGAGGAGGCCCAAGGCCCGCACTTCAGGAGGCAACTACTGGGAGGTTTTCGTCGGGAAGATTCGGGAGGATTAAGCCCCATTGGGGAGCTATTACGCTGGAGTGGGCCTCGGATTGAGCGGGATGAAGCGGGATTGAGCGGGATTCAGCGGGAGTAAGCCGGACTTCGGACCAGTGCAAAATCAGAACTTGACCTCCCCGGAGCTGCACCCCAACGCGCTGAAGGTCACTCCGGCGAAGAGTCGCTCGCGCGTGAGCGAAGAGGGAGTGGCATCAAGTCGGGCCTGTCCCCCTACAGGGGGATTTTCGACGAAAAAAATAATAATGCAAACATAGTCTGGGGACTATTTTTTGATGTTCTTTTTGTTTACCTTTTGGGGTATTTTGGGGGTATTTGTTGTTTTTCGTCGAAAATCCCCCTGTAAGGGGGACACGCCCGACTTAAGAGCGGCAACATGGGGCCGGGACGCGGGCCCGGGCCTCCCTGCCCCTCTCCGCGAGCTGCGCCTCGATGGCCTGCTTCTGCAGGCCCATCACGTCCTGCTTCTGCCTCTGGCTGCTGCGTAGCGGGGGGGCGATACACTCGCCATCGCTCGGACGTCCACTCCCTGTGTTGTTCTCGGTTTCGTGCGCGGCTGTTCCGCCAAACGATCAAGGATGCTCCTTCGCAACCCCCGCCGAGAAGACAACAAAGCACACGTCCGAGAGATACCAAGTACATGCAGAGGCCTCCCACATGGGTCCGAGTACTCCAGA